TTTTTATTTTCCCAGCTTCAGACAGATGAATGTATCTGTATATATTACCATTTTATAACAGGACGCAAGACTAGAGATTGAACTGAAAGAGGAGAGACTACGCACGTTGACCCAAGAATTGGAGGAGCTCACTTTCGGCGGTAAAACGGAAGAGGAAGTGGCGCAGCTGAAGAAAGCGAAACACGAGTTGGAGAACGCGCCAAGGATCAAGAAGAGGAACTGGACGATTTAGCTGGTCAGGTGCAGCTGCTCGAGCAGGCGAAACTCAGGCTGGAGATGAGCATCGAACAACAGCGCAAGGAGATGCGTAAAGAGATGCAACAGCGCGACGAGGAACTGGAAGACGTTCGCGGAAACGCGCACAAGAAAGTTAAGGCTCTCGAGTCGCAGTTGGAAAACGAGCACGAGGAGAGGACGATTCTTTTAGGGAGAAGCACGAATTGGAACGCCGTTTGGTAGCTTTGGAGGAACAAGATCGAGCCGATCGCGCGACTGAAGCCGAGACTATGCAGAGGTGAGTGTGAAAAATTCTGAACTCGTTCCTATTCATTTAGCGTCCGTCTTATCTAAAATATAAAATTAATTTCAATAAATAATTTACGCGTTGCGTGTATAATTAAACAGACTGAAGAGAGACTTGAAGAGGACAAAGGCCTTACTCAGGGACGCGCAGACGATGCTCGAGAGATCCAAAGGCGATTCGACGGGCAAAGCCGCGCTGCGTCAATTGAAGAATCAGCTGGAAGACGCGGAATGCGCTCGAGCAGTGGCGATTAAAGCGAAACAGGCGTTGGAACAGGAACTGAACGAAACGCAAGCGAGTCTGGAGGAAGCTATGCGACAACGTTCCGAAGCGGAAGAGCGGGCCAATGCGGCCAATCGCGAACGCACGGAGCTGTTGTCTCAGTTAGAAGAAAACGAAGAGGAGCTTGCTGAGGTATGTTATTTCATTTAGAGTCCAAAAAACCAGCAAATTCATTCAAGTCAAACTAATCGATCACTTATAATTAATATCACTCTTAAGACTTATAAAATAATATTTTAAATTTTTATAATTAATAATTGTGATAATTTTAAATAAACAAAATATTTTAAAAATAAATAGAAATTATATAAATGTAAAATGATTTTATACACGCCTCTTATTATGATCACAAAGGTCTTGAAGAAATATCGAGCCGCCGTGCAACAAGTTTCTTCGGAGCAAAGCCAATTGCAAGAGGCTCAGGTTCAAATTGCCGCACTCGAGGCGGAAAAGTCATCATTGAAGGACCAATTAGCGGAACTGGCGCAACGATTAGAATCAGTGGAGCAACTCGGCGACCCTACGGCAAACAGTCTCGCTACGAGACGCCTGGAATTTCGAGCCAAGGAGCTCGAGAGCAAGCTCGAACTGGAGCAAACCACGAGAGCGCGTTTGGAGGTATTGTCACAAATTAGCAAACTCATTAAAATTAATTATTTAAAAACAATCTATTTAGTCTTAGAAAGAATCGGGTATATAAGACTAATATTTTAAAAATTAATTGAATATTGTAATATGGTGACACATAATTTGTCAAATTAATAAATACACATGTATATTTTTAATTGACTGACTGTAATTATTTGCCTTTAATTTTGCAGACGCAAATAGCACGGTTGAAGGAAAGCGTAGATAAATTACAGACGGAATCAGCCTTACTCAGAACAAAGGAGCAGACTGCTCAAGACGCGGCGAGACGACTGCAACGATCCTTGCGCGATGCACGAGACGAAGCCAGCTCAGCGATATCGCGTGAACAGGAGGCCCTACGTGCTCGTCGCGATACAGAGAAATCTTTGGAAGCCGCAGAGGCTGAGACCAAAGTGGCCAGAGATGATCTCAGATTGGCGCTACAGAGGATCGACGACTTGCAGAGCGCGATTCAAGGAGAGCTCGACTTGGACTGTAGCGAGGAAGCCACGAGCGAGAATAGCGATAGGTAAGAAATAGGAGAAAAATATAATGTAATAAAAAATACAAATAATTAAGAATATACAAAATAAAAGATAATTTTAAATGTGAGATTTTCAAATATTTTTCATGTATGATAATGTTGAATAATTTTCGTTGTTCAAGTTGTAAGAAAAATTTCCTTGTTTTTCTAGTGATTGATCCGAGCCAATATCGGGCCTCGAGTCCGATCAAAATGACGAAGGCACGACTGAAACAGGATCAATGGACCAGATGATGGATTTATCTTTGCGTACCGAAACGTCGAACAAAACGTGAACCCGCCTCGTATTTAACGTATACGACCGAGACTTACATAAAAAAGTGACAAACTAGGATCATAATCCGGAGAGACGAAAGACTGGTGAAGAGAATACGAAGGACGGTATAATAGCTCGAAATCGCGATGAACTTTAATCGTGCTGTTTGAACGACGCCGCTGGCGTCTTTTTTCGCTGTCGTGAGGAATAAAACTACCGCAAGAGTGAATAAAAACTAGCGCGGAGGCTAGTTGAATGACGAAATCAAACTTATGAAGTAAAGTTCGAGCTGCGGATCAAGCTAAGATCACTAAGTTAATTAACTGTGTGCTCACACATAGACATTCTCTCTCTCTCTGCGAGCGATGATAAACTTTTTAGGTGCTAACTATGTATAATTCTCAGAAAAAACCTCGATGTCGTGGCTAACTTTGCACGTCGCACTTAGTCGTGCGTCTGCGGTGCTATTATCTCTTGTCCGTTTTTCTTCTTCTTTTTTTTTCTCTTCTTAAACCGTCGATGACAACGACGTCGTCCTTTTCAGTCTTCCACAGAAATTCGAGCCATTTCTTCATAAGCGCGAATGCGAATATTGATGAAATTGCGTACATTTACTGCCGAACAAAAGTCGAAATAGGATTTGACAGAAAAAGCATTTTTAATGTTGACAAAGACAAATTTATATCTTTTTATTAGAAAGATATAAGCAAATATTTTGCAACGAATTTTAAGCAATAGATTAAAACCTTCCTCTTGATTTTAATAATATCGATGTAGCGAGACTTTACCTCTTTTATAGGATATTCGTGCTTTTGTTCGACAGCGTAGATATACATATATGTCGTGCGAATATTTTTTTGTAGAATTAGCTCACTTTTTAGAAAAGGACACATTGCGCTTTTTATTCTTTACTTCACCTTTGTATCACATCGTGTAAAAAGGAAGGAAAGGAAAGGAGCACGACAGAGAAACGCGTGCCACGACTCAAATTAGGGCTTTGGTTTCATGTAAGGATTCTCGTGTAACTTATTGCTTTGTAAAATGCAGATCTCCTATTTAATTACTCGGAAGTGTTTCTTCATCCTCCCTTTACTCTGTACAAGCATCCCAACTATCTTGAAGTTCAATCAGCAAAAACGAAACGGACGAAAAGTCCGCGAGCAGAGTGGAGTCACAAAAGTAGAAACAGAGACCAGAGAAGCTAGCCAGTGCGAATTGGTTATCAAATTAACCATTACACATAAAACGACTCGTATACAAGTGCATACATACATACATACATACACGATCACTCGTCCTCCTTCGACTTTTCCCTTTGAACAGCTAGACATTGATTTCCCGCGGGATGGGTCCCGCTCACCAAAGTTCCTGAAGTAAAGTTAAGCTCTTTTCCTTCTGTTCACCGCACTCCCGTTTCCCACCCCGCACATTGCACTCTGTTTCTTCATCACTTCTATAGTCAGACTCTACCTCTACCAGTTAGATGCGTAAAGCGACGAGCAACAATTAAATTGCGAGTAAGTTACTGTCGCTTCCACGACAACAGCGAGGACAACGAGGATGGATGTGCCATTTTAACGACGACATTCCCTTCTCTTCCTGAGGTAAGTCCTTCCAAGTCTATTAAACCGCGAATTAAAATACGATAGTGTCGCACACAATTTTAGCGTATTTTGATTAAAAGAAAAAAAAATATATATATATATATATATGCGCGCTGTGATATATCGATTGTTATACAAAATGGCTCGAGCGCACGATGCAATTTAATTTTATTTATGTAGTAACTCGATCACAGTTCGCATGACATTGATTGACTGTATAATTTATTTTATTATTTGTTTTTAGTTTTTATTTAATCTGAATATTGACTGTCAGTATCGGTAAACGCACAGTAGTTTTAATTACTCCACCTAGTATAAAACACGCCTGTACACGCAGTGTACAAGCAGTACATATGCTCGCGTATAATGCATATACATATGTACATAGGCGTATATATATCACATCAAGGGAACAAAAATTTAGTCTCGACATGGCTCCTCATTAGAGATTACGTTATATGCATGGCTTCCATTCGCGACTAACTACACGCTCCGATAAATTACGGCGTCGCACGAGGTTAATGGATAAGTATGTGTATGTGTGCCGAGACGCATTCGTAATTCTCGCTATTAGCGAATTTGAGAAGAATGCAAAGGCAAATCTAGTTAACGCTCGTTATGTACGAAGAAAATGCAGAGAAAGAATTAATGAGCGAGACGCAGTTTTCATTTTAGTGTCGCATCGTTCTGAAATAACTTTGATCAAATAATTGAAAATATGCATTTAGCAGAAGTCTTATCAAATAACATGACGCACAGTTTGCATGAAATCGCGGAAACACGTTTAAAAAAAATTTCTTATCGACATATTATAATCTCGTTGCTCCTTTTAATGCAAATCAATTTAATTATTATTTTATATTAAAAAATTGATGTAAACAAAATCTTTCATCTTCGTTTGCTTATATTATACGCAGATTATACTCAAAAAATCCACTTTCAAAAAATCCAATCTTCGAAGCGAGTTATAAATTCAGTGAACTTCGAGACGAATAGATTGAACAAATCGATTAACTCGGCGTTTGCTAATTTATCTCGTATATATATCTCGTAATTGATTTGCACCTATTCATCCGTGAATTTGCATCGTGGTCATTAATCCGCACGCTGAACAGAAAGCAAGAGTCGCGCGAGCTTATGTGGCTTAACATCGCAACATTTTGCAGTTTAGCTTAGCGATTGCCAATTTTGTGAGTAAATCAAAGGTAGTTTATACAAGTTGTCATATGTCATTGTGGCTTGCAATGACACAACTGTAACCAGCTTATTTGAAGATACAAACAGGCTTTATAAATTAAAAATTTTACGCAATCTTAATACAAAAATCATTGCAATAATAATGATCGACAGTTGTGCTAATTAATTTTTATTATTAAAATTTCAGTATCAATTAACGTAGACAGTATCAACTGTACACATTTTGAAAAACAATAAATCATAAATTAACTCACGCTGTTTTTATTCCGTTTCGAGTTATATAACTGAGAAAATATTTGCATTTTTAATAAATCAATTTTGTGTGCTAAAGTGAAACTAATATTCTCGCAATTTTTTAAATAGTCACAAATATCTCGAATAAATGCTTTACGCGCCAATAGCTTTTCACGAAGCTTTATCAACACAATTCGTTCGAATTTAAACGATGCGCCTTTAAATAAAGTGCTAAAAATAGAGTAATAAAATATCTACAAACATGTTAGAAAGAAGTTCGTTTTGAGTATAAGATATAATATGTATGTATATGTTTTACATATGACGAGGACTATATCTTATATCTTCAGTAATTCACGAGAACTAAATAAGAATATTTTTACAATTAAAATATTTATTATTGCAAATATATAATTTAAAAAACACATTACTTTATTTACGATATCGTATACTTATATGCAACTAGCTTTTCGGACCGCGCTTCGCGCGGTCCTCAAAGCCAGCCTTTCTATTCGGACCGCGCTTTGCGCGGTCCTCATATAGTCTATATTAAATCCGTTTTAACACAAAAAATTAATTCTTTTTTTGTATTACCGCGAACTACTTCCACATTTGTTGTTCGACTTTCACGAAATTTATACCAAAATAAATGTTTAAATTTTTTTGTGGATGACTACTATGTTATCTATTTCTTTCTCCCAGATATTTTATTTTCTTTTTTTAAGACACGTTTTCTCTCTCTCTCACTCTAAAACACACGCGCTCCCTTTCTCTCTCTTTAAGACACATGCTCTCTCTCTCCTTATCTCTCTCCCTCCCTCTTTCTTTAAGACACACGCTCTCTCTCGCTTCTCTCTCTCTCTCTCTCTCTCTCTCTCTCTCTCTCTCTCTCTCTGTATGTGTGTGGGGTTTTTTAAGTTTACGCTTTCACCTACGCATCCACCCACACAATCGCATATTTATGAACGGATTTTTTAAAAAATTGGTACCAAAATGTTGCAAATTTTTGGCGACGATGTGGTTTTTTCAAGTGTTACACCTCCACCCACACGCATGCGCATTTATGGACCAATTTTCACGAAATTAGTACCAAAATGTTGCAAATTTTTCTGAGAAAGCTGCTGTGTGGTTTTTTTAAGTTTTATCCCACCCACGCATGCATCCACGCATTCACACATTTATTCACATACTTTTTTGAAATTTGTAGTTAAATTTGTTGGAGATGGCTACTATGATTTTAACAAATTTTTATCATCCTATTCATCCACCCACGCACCCATGCACCCATTTGCATACGCATTTATTGACTTGGTCACACCAAGAAGTAATTTTTAAAAAATTTGTGTACGTATTTGTGATTATGTGTGCAATTCGTGTAAATAAACCTTTAATTTGTATGCAATTTTCACGAAATTAGTACCAAAATGTTGCAAATTTTTGCAATCACAAACATGTACACAAATTTATTTAAAATTACTTATTGGTGTGACCAAGTCAATAAATGCGTATGCACATGGGTGCATGGGTGCGTGGGTGGATGAATAGGATGATAAAAATTTGTTAAAATCATAGTAGCCATCCTCAACAAAATTTGAGTACAAATTTCGAAAAAGTCTGTGAATAAATGTGTGAATGCGTGGGTGAATGCGTGGGTGGGATAAAACTTTAAAAAACCACACAGCAGCTTTCTCAAAAAAATTTGCAACATTTTTGTACCAATTTCGTAAAAATATTGGTCCATAAATGCGCACGCGCGTGGATGAATGCGTGGGTGGAGGTGTAACAATTGAAAAAACCACATCGTCGCCATCTTCAAAAAATTTGCAACATTTTGGTACCAATTTTAAAAAAATCGGTTTATAAATATACGATTGCGTGGGTGGGTGCGTGGGTGGAGGCGTAAACTTAAAAAAATAAAACACCAGCTTTGTCAGAAAAATTTGCAACATTTTGGTACTAATTTCGTGAAAATTGGTCATAAATGCGCATGCGCGTGGGTGGGTGCGTGGGTGGAGGTGTAACACTTGAAAAAACCGCATCGTCGCCATCTCCAAAAAATTTGCAACATTTTTGTACCAATTTCGTAAAAATATTGGTCCATAAATGCGCACGCGCGTGGATGATTGCGTGGGTGGAGGCGTAAACTTAAAAAAATAAAACACCAGTTTCCTCAGAAAAATTTGCAACATTTTGGTACTAATTTCGTGAAAATTGGTCCATAAATGCGCATGCGTGTGGGTGGATGCGTGGGTGGATGCGTGGGTGGAGGTGTTACACTTAAAAAAACCGCATCGTCGCTATCTCCAAAAATTTTGCAACATTTTGATACCATGTGTTCAGAAATATTGCAAAAAAAAATTTTTTTCGCAAAAACATACCCTCCTCTGAAGAAAAAAAATAAAATAAAAAAATTAAAAAAAAAACCCACAGCAGCCACCCCCGAAAAATTTGCAACATTTTGGTACCAATTTCGAGACAATCGGTCCACAAATGCGGAAGTAGTTCGGGCACAGACAGACAGACAGACAGACGGACGGTGCTTATATATATAGATTAAATTAATCCCTCTCTCTCTTTCTCTCTCTCTCTCTCTCTCTCTCTCCCTCTCCCTCCTCAATATTATATATAATAATATAATATTATAAATAAATATTATGTAATATAATCATTTTTTGCAGTAAAACAGAAAGCTCGATGGGCAAGAGCCGGAAGAGGTACCAATTTAAAAAAAATCGGTTCATAAATATACGATTGCGTGGGTGGGTGCGTGGGTGGAGGGGTAAACTTAAAAAAATAAACCAGTAGTTTTCTCAAAAAAATTTGCAACATTTTGGTACTAATTTCGTGAAAATTGGTCCATAAATGCGCATGCGCGTGGGTGGATGCGTGGGTGGGTGCGTGGGTGGGGGTGTAACACTTAAAAAAACCGCATCGTCGTTATCTCCAAAAAAATTTGCAACATTTTGATACCATGTGTTCAGAAATATTGCAAAAAAAGATTAAACATACCCTCCTCTGTAGAAAAAAAAAAAATTAAAAAATTAAAAAAAAACCCCACAGCAGCCACCCCCAAAAAATTTGCAACATTTTGGTACCAGTTTCACGAATATCGGTCCACAAATGCGGAAGTAGTTCGCGTACATACATACAGACAGACGGTGCTTATATATATAGATAGATATGCATTCTGCAACAGCAGCAAGTGTCCATTCATAATTTAATGGAATATTTTTACAACTGTTATGTAATTCACGTGACACGACGTCGATATGGATCAGAAATTACAGCAAACTATGTCTTATGTATGGCAAGCGTGTTACATACGCGTTACATAGCGTCTCATGAATTTTTCATCGCGAACATGTAACCGTCTCCGCAAGCCCGTGAAACGTCAAAAGTCATTGCTCTTGTTGGGAGATCAATAAGGGGGTGAAAAATCACGCGTCTCGAAAAGATTAATGTCTCACATAATCCGGCATCGGCGCTGATTTATTTCGCATAATACGACGTGTGGCGCACTCGTTACGGCGTCATAGTACCGTACAAAATCAAACGTGACTCATCTGAAACCTGACCGAGGCAAAAATTCGTACCAATGGGAATTTAATCAAACTGGCTTCCGTATATTTTTACGGAAGAAAAATTTCACAAAACTCTCTTTTGATATTCATTTTTTTTTTAATTTCGATAAAATCCTGAACTATACTTGAATTATACATATGTATAGGAAGAAGCTAATAAACACATACATATTTCTCTTTTCTTTGATTATTATCCATTCTTTAATATAAAAAAAGGAAGCTTAATGGATGTCTCGCTGCTCTGGACAGTTAAATGGATTTATCAGTGCAACTGAGATAGAAAAAAAAAGATTAAAAGAACTCGGAGGATTGAAACGTCGATATTTCATCGAATTCGTTATACAAGCTTTGGGTGTCACTCTGTATTTCGCGACATAGTGCTTTATACACTTGATATGCAGAGTATATATGGAAAAATATATACAAAACGATGATATGCAAACTACAGGTAAAATGAATAAAAATAATATTTCAATAAGTTATATACGAATATTTATAACATTTCGGACAAACAATTCTGTAATTGCTCGCACAGAAGCTAAATGGGACGCGTCTTTTTTTTTATATTCTGTAACATAAATCGTTGTAATCGGATTAACCGTTCGGTCGCTGGACGGAAAATGTTTCAGATTTTTCCATGCAAAAATATTGTATATATAACGGAGATGTAAAGAAATATTTTTACTATCTCCGATCGGAAGTGTTATTCCCTTTGTCTTCTTTCCTCTCTGCGGAATGCGACAAAAAGTGTAATGCTTAGCATGCGAATAAGCAAATGAACGTATATGCTCTTTGACGCGAAGCGCAGCGGGGAAAAAATATGCTTCTCAAAAGAGAAACGGGAGGGTCGATATTTTCGCCAAGCTCGTCTCGTCGGAGCGCAAATGTCGTGTGCGTCGCTTTAAATTTTAATCACACCAAGCGGGCGCCAAGCTGCGCGCTTGCATTTATAAAGGGCGACATAATGAGCGCGCGAGCACGCGGACTCTCTCTACAGGCGTGCGACACCGATTAACCGAGTATTACTTTAATTAACTTCACGTTCGCGGAGGAATGAACGCACAGGCAAGCCCGATGCGATGCCAGGGCACGATGCTAGGTGCGATTTCTCGCCGAAATAACGCATGTACGGCGTTAAGATCCCGAAAACTCTCCACCCTCTTGTGCAACCGACAGAGCAATCGGTTGTGTTGAACAGAAACAGTTAAGATAATGACAATTTACGTGATTACAAGGGACACCGGCTGAAGCAATTTGTCGCGAAATGCATTAAGTCTGGTGACTTGCCATTACTTTACTTGAAAGAGAAGAAGGAAGAGAGAGAGAGAGAGAGAGAGAGAACAGAGAGGAATGGACAGTTGTTCAGTTACGAATCTCTCTCAAGACCTAACATTCTGCGAGGTTGCCTGTCACTTAGAAGTAATGAGTGAAATAAATCCAAAGAGTAGCGCATAAAGTAGCGATGCGTAAAACTAATGAAGGGTGAAGTAGATATTTCTCATATTACAATTTGAAGAATAAACTCAGTTAATTATTTATTATTTAGGCTTATTATCGACGACTTCATAGTATCAGATTTTGTTCAGGTTATTATTGCATGTTTCAAGCAGCAAAAATAAACAGAAGGTATCAAATCAAGAAAGAGAATCTTGTAATTGTTTGCAAGTCTATTAAGAGATTCTTGCGAAATTCTCTGCCATTATCGTGATATTCTTATCTTGCTAACGACGGCGAAGAAGTCATCTTAAATCTGCGTTAAGATTATATCTCGGAACAATCAGTTGCAAGATGAGCGGTAGTAATTAGGGAGATAGTATTCATAAATTATCAATTTAGAGTGACGGTTTTATGCAATATTTGTTTTATGGTACAATAAACATAAAATGTATCACGATAACAACAATTTTACCGACTACATAATCAGATATTTAATAACGATATATTCGACAATTATTTCTCATTTAAAAATCATTAAAAGGCATGCACATGTGCATTCATTAATGCGTATAGTTTATACACGAACAATCTATTTTACGATTTCATATTATTTAAATCTATATGTGATTATTTATATTTATATAACTGTAGGATATATCAATCATAACTGTTTAAATCTCCAGATCGGCGCGGTTTCCTGTCAACATGTTTTTAACAATTCAATGAGAATGCAAAATGTTTTTAACAATTCAATGAGAATGCAGTCTGTTTACAGATATAAATTTCTATCACGTTGGAATTACACTTGTATATTTGCCAATCGAAACCAAAGCTTGCATAGGAATTAATCATGGAACAAGAGCAACGTGACGTTCGCTGCTCGTTAATAATATATATGTCAAGCCTGATCTGTCACTACTCTTATGATTAATTAAGTTGACACACATGTTGAATGACAGTAGGTCTTATTAGTTACAAGACATAGTAAATTGCAGCACGACAGCTTTCATACTTATAATTATAACGTCTGCGTTTTTTTTTTTTTTTTTTTTCAAAAAAAAAGGAAACAATCTTAATCTTAAATGTGCACAAACTGTTATGATATGCTGAATAGAAAACTTAGAAGATTTTTGTCATCAGTTATATATTTTATAAAAATCTTTCCTCAATGGTAAAAGTCGATCAAAACTAGCAATCATTTATTATAAATAATTAATTAAAATACAACGTTATATATTTGATTATTTATCTATCAGATATTCGATTTTGAGTGCTCGTGCGCGCAATTATAGTTAAAAGTCAATTTATCCTGACGCTTTTGTGTCACATCGAAAGTGTTTCTATGAATCGTCAGAAACTGCTGCAAAAGCCGCAGCTTTGAAATGTGAGATTATCATGGATCACGCGTATTCCAAGAGAACCGAAACTATCCGCTCTGAAACGCAATCAGCTTAACTCTGAAACGCAATAAATCCCTTTGATGCATCCTGTGTTTGTTGTTCTCGTTATTGAATCGCCGAAAGCGATTAAGACCCCGGATCCATCGATTTCTTTTTTTTTTTTTTTTTTCATCGTTATAAGCGAAAAGATTGACGTTAAAGCGTGGCCTTCCGGTCAACTATTTGAAAACTGCAGTGATAAAATTTTTATCACGTGTCGTCCAGAAGGTACTATAAAACAAATATTATATATAACAACAAGTCGAGACAGCAAGGCAAGATTATTATCATCTCTCTTTCGGACGTGAAGAACGAGAATTCTCCCTTTACGATAACCTCCGCGATCGATTTTGGTTTCGACGAAGGTGAACGAGATTGGAATAGGTCGAATAGATGAAAGTCGATCGAGCGATAAATTTACTCGAGGTCTGATATCTCTTACACTGGCGCTAATTACCAACTATATTGCTTGTCGTCGCGGTTTGTTTGAAAACGAACACGGATCGTAGACGAACGATGCGAGATAAGCCACGGCGCGTCTTCACGAGGAAATGTTATGAGCTCATCATCATCATCGATAATGATGAAGAGATAAGGAGACAAAGAAGGCATTCTAGGATTCACCTCTTTGTCGCGTGTCTGGATGACAAGGTAGACGACCATGAGTGAACAGTAACCGACTATTGCTCGCGTTATCGTTATATAGTTAGCATATAAAAAAAAGACCTGTGTCGCACGCGGAAGCCTGGTTACGTCTGGAGCTGTCCCTATAATTATACCGGCTTGCAACAATCAACAATCAACAATCGTATTAAGGCCAATTGGATGGCACGAGGGCGGTGATGGGTCGTCATCTATACCACAGCTCTTAATTATGAAGTAACAGATAAATAGATCTCTCTAGATCTCTCCTCGTCGAATCACACACATACATACACATACATACGCACATGTCGATAAGACGCAGCCGACTCTGTTGTCGGCTCGACGCGAATTCAAATTCCGAAGTCACCAGTGTCTGTTAGCTTCTAGTGGTGGAAACATCGTGAAAACCGAGGCTGCAAGTGATAAAACGACTGCTAGTTAATCATGAAACTTTCGCAGCGGTGATATAAAGCCGCGAACACGAGAAAAAAAGCAATGAAGTAATAAAAGGCTGAGTGGATTAGTTTTTGTACTTTCGATTTATGCGTCATTTATGTGTTACGCTGCGAGCATACACCGGCGATAGTAATTTTCGCGAACCTGGAATTTGTCGGGAATAAATGGTAAAAGACCAATTAATACTAAAATAGATGTTATATATATGTAGCTCTCTTTTGTGTAAAATACTGTGAAATACAGCGATTAATCAATTTTAAAAAATCGTTCTCTCTGAAAAGCTGCAATCATTTGCAGCGATTGTTTGGAAAGATAAAATAATAAAAACGACGTTGGAAAAATGAAAGTATCGATACACGGATGATTTGAAATTAAGGACATTCGATAAAAACTTGAGGAAAACTACTTGTTGGATTCATTGTATTGAAGTCCGCAGCTCCGGAGAATCGCCAGGAAAATAAAATAGGACAGCCCCCGTTCCATTCTCGTCTCACATGGCTACGATCACAAATGTAAGTGACACAGTTTTGCTCCGCAGTTGCAATACGCCGCTGCTCCGATTTCTCTCGTTACCGCGTAAACAGCCGAAATTGAAACGCTTTCGCCGCGAATCGTTAATTCGAATAATTAATTGACGCTTATTATTAGATGTAATAGTGCGGCTGCTCCGTGCGCATATTGGATCAATTTTCGATAATATTGGTCGTATTGGAGTATTATAATATTGGATATTAACATAATATTGAACAAACAATCTATTCCAAATCTTCCTCGAACATTTCTGCAGGATTTCTTGCACAAATACGCGAAGCGGATCGCATTGGCAATAATTATGGCATAATAATCATATCGCATTTACTAACATAATCAGTCAGTATTGAATAAGCAAATTTGAGCGCAGTTATCAAGTTTATTTTACATTTATCAAATTCTACGCGGCTTTCATAATTCAGTTGATGAAAATCATTTACATGATGAATCGTTTCCTCGATGTACCATTTCTCAATCTCTTTATTTTCGCAACGCTACAATTGAGGGATCAATGACTGATAACCTTTGCCGTCTGCGGGTGATTATAAATATCGGTTAATGTATAAACGCGGAACGTGTCGAGCGAGTGAGCGAAAAGGAAAAAAAAATAAAAATACATAAAGAGACGATCACATACATGTACGATGCGTGAAAGTAGACGCAAGAGTTGACGCCTGCGCGTTTTGCAACGTATCCGATTCCACAAACACGGTCCAAAGTTAATACCGACGAAAACATGAAAGTGGTCGCCTCTATCGAATTCGGGACAGAGGAGCTGGTCGATCGTGGCACGTTGTATTTAGATCGCGGATTTGCGCCATTTAAAGGGATCGAAGCGGAGACGACATGACTGAAACAATGGACCCGCTGGTGAGTATCGATCTCTCGACTCGTTCGCTTTGTTGAAAAAACGAGACATTTGGCGCATTTCCGAGATGTATTCCTCGTGCCAGATAAAATCCGCAAGTCTGAGGTTATATTCGCGTTGAGTGTGCGCAGCACACGCGCATGCACGTGAAGTTTTCCTTCACGCCGTTATCACGCTTTTACGGAAACGCTTGCGCGCATGCGCACGCCGGTGTTGTATATCGACTGGAAAACAATCTTGAAATAATTTTTCCTTCTTTTTTTCGGGTTGCAAACGCGCGAAAAGATTGATGATCCACTCGTAAAGCTATTTATTATAGAATGTCTTACGAGATTCCGAAGATGTCATTCATACATGTCGCTTCTCTGAACAAAATTCGAACATACAAACGGAAATGCATACGGGATTCCTATACTTTACTAATTAAACTTTGTAAAATTTAATCCATATATTTCAAGATTATGATTCTCGGCAAACTCAATTCGCAAATGTATTCATTAATACAGAGAGAGCATCGCGTTTCAAACCAATTAAAATCGCTCAAAAATTCGATCCTCCCGTACCCATCTATGCAAAATCAACAGTATTTTTTTCCAAATATGACCCGCGGCTGTAATCACTATTTCAGATATATTATATTTTTTTACGATGAGCCATGTAACTCAGAACTTATAAAACCGAATGATTCAGCATTTAGACATTGAAGTCGGAGCACGTTGACCTCCATCGGCGTGTCGCGTAACGAGTGTTGTGTGCGCTTTGTGTGTTCTCCACACATATGCATCGGACACACACGCATGTCAGTATGTGTTCGTGATGTTGGCACGCGATCTCGAGAAATAAACTCGAAGCGGCTCCTCCTGCGACGAAGCCAAAAATGGGTGTTCCGTTCAGCGCCGCTTTCCGGCACCTTGCGGGCAAGTGCGTGCGATGGCTCCGGAAAGCCACTAGAAGTGCAAACACGTTGGTGAGTTGACCAACGGAACGAAAGCCAAGACCATGTTCACCATGTTCGCTCGCTCGTTCGCTTTCCCGGCCTACGCCGATGCACTCGCGTGCACCAAACTATATCGCGATAAGCCCGCGTAGCCGCCGTTGCGACTGATGAGATCCTGGTGTTAGATTGCGTCGCCAGCGAACACGCAAACACGAAGAAGAAGAGTGACGTATCGCTGCGAGAAGCAGTAGCGCGCATGTGCAGTCGATCAGCGATCTTACGATGGCGCTTTATTCAATCGAAGAAACAGGAAACCTACGCTAAAACCGCGCTTTGCTAATGTTTCCTCCGATGTGCCGTGTTTACTTGGCAATTGAAAAGAAAATTTCTCCTCCGAGAGAGCCGGCTGTTAAAACGAAACCTAGGATAATTTTTCCGCAGCATGTGGCTTACGTAGATTGTTTGATTCTCGCAGTATGTCCGAGTTCTTTGAAAGAAGAACGCGGTTTCTCTACTTGATTCCTTGCGCACCACATTAATCACTATCACCTGTTGCTTCTCACTTCGAGAAAGAATTTCTGCATTCCGTCACGCTCAAGGGGCTGCATGTGCGAATATCATCACATCGCTGCATTCCGATTTGATTCGAGTTCGCTCACGAAAATATTTCATAAATCATATTGGCAGTAGAAGAGCAGCGGTTGAGTTGTTATCAGTAGCTACCGCGGGATTTAAATTTAAAACGCGATAGCATCTGATTTTAATCAAAACCTACATTATTTATGCTATTTTACACAGCTATAAGCCTTATATAGTAACGTAAAGGCTTTCAGTCTGATGAAAAAAAAGGAAAATATTTGTTTCTATTCTAGATCGATGCGCTGAAGGAAGGCGGGCCGAAGGAGGAAATTGTGATGCAAGTTTCGTCTCCCCAGCGTCACAGCAAACGCACGCAATGGAGGCAATGGCTAGCATGCATATCAGGTTTGCGTCATATTTATTTTTTATGAGACGTCGCTCGTTTAAAAGTTGCACGCGGCGAGATCAATTGTTTAATTATTGCGCCATTAGTCTTCATTCAATTCTTTGTTTCGCAGCGACTCTATCTATGGTGGCGGTCGGTACTGTTTACGGATGGACCACTACGTCACTCTCGCGACTCACATCCGGCGCCAGCGATGTTCCAGTGAAGATCACCCAGGACGAGAGTTCATGGATCGTGTCGCTGACGGTGATCGGCTCGATGATCGGTCCGTTCCTCGGAGCCGGCCTCGCTGATCGTTACGGCCGTAAGAGATCCCTCCTGCTCGCCAGCGGTTTCTTCATCGTCGGCTGGACGGTCGTGTTCTTCGCCCAGAGCGTCACGGCTCTCTACATTTCGAGGGTAATCCTGGGCATCGGCGTGGGCATGTCGTACACCGCCAATCCGATGTACGTGTCGGAAGTAGCCGACGTCAACATCAGGGGCGCCCTCGGCACTCTGATCTCCGTGAACGTGTTCACCGGTTCCTTACTGACCTGCAGCATCAGTCCCTGGGTGTCTTATCAGGTTCTAGCGGTTCTACTACTGGCGGTAGCCGTTCTCTTCGTGCTGTGCTTCTCCTGGTTCCCAGAGACTCCCGCTTTCCTCGCCGCCAGGGGTCGCAGAGCAGAGGCCACCAGATCCCTAGCGTTCTTCAAGGGAATCCGCGATCGTGACGAGGCTAGAAGAGAGCTGGAGCAAGCTCTGCGCAATCTTTTCCTCGAGGACGTCTGCGACAACGGCCCGGTGACCGGTCCCGGAGCGCGAACGGAACCGGTGAAGCGTAGCTGGCTCGTCAAACTAAAGTTAATGCTGTTGCCCAGCAACGCCCGGGCCCTCGGCATCGTTCTCGGTCTTATCATGGCGCAGCAACTTAGCGGGAACTTTAGTACTATGCAGTATCTCGAGGTGCTTTTCAAGAAAATGGCCATCGGCCTCGACTCCAACATGGCTACGGTTCTCGTGCTCGCGGTCGGCCTCATCTCATCAGGATTATCGACCGCGACCGTCGAAGGCGCCGGCAGACGTCCGTTGCTGATCGCCTCCACCCTGGGCTCCTCCGTTACCCTCGCGATTCTCGCGGTATACCTTATGCTGGACGAGCGAGGCGTCGACATGTCCTCGATGAATCTCCTTCCGGTCATCGACGTGATCGCCTTTCAGGTTGCCTTTCAGATCGGACTAGGTACCCTACCCAGTGCGCTGATCGGCGAATTGTTCCCCACCGAGGTGAAGGCGTTCGCCGGCGCCATCGTGACCATTTTTGACGGAGTGCTCGGCTTCGCCGTCTCCAAGCTGTACCAAGTGATCGGCGACTCGCTGGGCGCCGACATCGTTTACTACTTCTTCGCGGCTTCGTGCTTATTCGCCTTTGTAATGGTGATGTTCGCCGTACCCGAGACCAAGGGCCGGACGTTCCGCGAAATTCAGGAACTTCTAAGAGACGGCAACAAAAAGGACATTGCCGAGAACGTTGAAAGTTCACAGAATCGAAATAACGTGGCGTGACAGAGAGAGCGATGCCGCGTTTCACGCTGGACGCGGCGTAAACTCGTTTATCCAACGTCACAGGACGTTCTTTTCGAAGCGACGAACTTTGAAACGGCGATTACTTACCCTCACTTGTATATATATACAGTACCTTTGTATACGCGGACGAGGAGCGAGTCGCTAAGGCGAAATCTTCGTCCCCCACAACTTTTCTCGCACCCGCCATCGAGAAATAAAGAACTTTTTAAACTCATTTTTGCTACACCTATACGTATATAAATCCGTGCCTACTTAGATGTATAGTGTGTTCTTCCTTCAGCTTCAGTTCTTTCTTTCAAAATTATGAGATCTCGTTATGAATTTCACCGTTTATTTATTGAAACACCGCTACGGAGGAACACTATCTTTGTATATATATATGCGGCTCCTCTTTCTTACTTTCTTCTCTTTTTTTGCGCGCGGAATGTTACGCGGATGGGATATTTAACGAGACGTCAGACTTCAGAGTTGTTTCTCGTGCGCATACAAGATAAAATATTTAAGTAAGGAAAATTGAGAGAGAAAGAGAGAGGAGAAAATGAAAATGAAAAGGACTGGCGAGTACAAATTTCGCATAAACACCGCATCTCTTACGCAGAAACGTAGAAATCCTAGGAGTGACAATGAAATTAAGAAGAAGAGAGAGAAAATGGCGCTTGAAGAATTATATAAAAACGTTTTGTGGTAAAATAAATGCTTCCATTGAGAGAAGCACATTTTAATGTTTTCTTTTACAGTTAATTATTGTACAAAATAATATTTTTATATGCTCTGTACTGTTTCTCTCTCTCTCTCTCTCTCTTACTTTATATCGTTGTTAGATAATTTTCTCGATACTCTTTTAAACAATACAATCAGTAAAACCAACTCGGAATAATCATACCTGCAGCATGGCTATAAGACTGATGGAAAATATATATGTCTCCAGTGTTGCGTTTATTGTTAGATGATTTTAAAATTAGCTAGATAAAGATAAAGATGAGATGAAAATATGTAAATACATCTTAGATAAGATGAAAACGATTTTGTTTTAAATATATCTATATCAAAGATAAAATTATATAGCGATTCATCTAGATAATATTATTTTTCAAACCGCTTATGTAAATACAGTTATAAGAAAATTTAAATTATTAAAAGGGATATAAAATTATAAAAGAGATATAAAAATATATTCACATATTTTTTTGTAAGTTTTTATAATATCGCTTACTGCTTAAGTTCTATTACTTAATAAAATACTTAATTATTTTTATGTGCTAAACTAAATTATCTAAACATTAGATAATTTAGTAAAAAAAAACACTTTTTTATTTAAAATGCAGGTATAGATAATACATATTTTTATTATCTAAATAAACATAAGATGACGCAAAAATTTCACCTAGATGAACATTTATATAATTTTATTTAGATAACAGCAAATATTATGTCTTGGCCATAAAAGATGTTTATAAACATGACGTAATCTTCGCGCAATGCTTTTTGTCGAATTAGTTAGAGCCTTCAAAATTTCAATTTGTGAGATCCGGTATATGGGGAATTTGCAGACAGCTCTGCTCTTTCTTTTTCTCTCTCGTACGCGACGGTAGAAGATATATAAAATGTAACAACAATAGTCGAGTTCGTGTATCCACTAAAACAAAGAATTGTTGTAGCTATCACTTTTCAAACATGTTTTCTCTACATGAACGGAAACAATGAATATATCACTCTTTTATACATGTAACATTAAAAAAAATATATTTTAATATATCAGCTATTTTTGTAATAAATCAGAGAGATCATTCCCTTTATTTTATTTTATATTTTCCTTTTATTTTATTTTAATTTCAAATTTTAATTTCATGTTTTTCACATGTAAAACTAAACTGTAAAGCTGATTAAAGATTGAAAAAAGAATAAAGTGAAGATTGAAGGAGACGAAGAAATTGCGATAAAAGAAAGAACATAATTAAATTGCAAAAAAGGAGCAGCGAAATAAAATGACAATATTCTTAAAAAGCAAGAAAAGCTTACGTTATACGACGTCCTTTCTGAATTTTTATTTTCTTTTATATGCGTCAATGAAGCTGTAGAAACACGCTAGGTTTGACACGATAGACATTTCAATTTATTTCCCCGTATTCCACACAGCTGCCGCGCATTGTTTTGAGGTCGTGATATGTACTGTTCATTCATTCATTAAATAGAAATTGAAAAGACCATGTGTTGTAAAAATAATTATACGAAAAAAAAAAATTTTTTTTAATTATTATCTAGTGACTTATAGTTTTATATCATTAATTATAAGAAAACTTGAAGTAAAAAAAAAACAGAAAAAGAAGCATCACCTGTATAATAGAATTAAGCTATACATGACGAGACAAGTATATGCAAAGCGTATATTTGAGGAAAGACTTACTTCCACAAATTAGAGAGAATAATTTCTTTCATTTCTCCCGCGCTCTCAGAAGAGAAACAATGACAAAGAATCATAAATGTAGACGCGAAATCGTTCGATAGAGAGCCGGAAAACTTCGCGCCCACTTTCCGTATTGCAAAGAGAGTCTGTATAAATCGAGATAACGCAATTGTTGCAGCCAGTGCTCTTACGATGATGGCATGTAGGAGGACGACTTCATCTTAAAATGGACCGTATCTAGATTGATTTAATGTGGAAGAGTGTATATTTTAATTTCAATTTTTGCATATATCTCTCGAACGTAGACGTCTCGATCGCAAATCATTTTATCATAAAATAATGAGCTTCGATTTTAATAAAAATTAATGAGTAAGAAATAATTATCGAACAGATTTATAAGTTTTGTACATTTTTTTATTTATTGAAATCTCCATCTCTGTTAGTTTAATTTTTCGAGTATTATTTTCATTCTTTTATTTATTCGTCAATTTTTTTTCCTTCAATCTTCAATTCCATCTTTCGCGTAAAAGCACAGTTTTCTGCAAGTTAGCGTTACTATCTTAACAATAAATAAATAAATATATTTATATGCATGTTTTAATTATGCATATTAATATAATAGTATAATTCTTTTTGTCAGATAGTAATCATATACAACATGTGTACGTGCATCAAAAAGCTATATCCTTTCACCCCCAAAAAATGGATCGGAGAAGAAAGAAACGGAGCGAATAAGTATGTAGATATGTATATACGTACGTGTACTCATATATGTGTTAACCAATTAATTAATGACCCTACGAACACATCAAAGACCGCATTGTATCGTCTATCAATGCGCCGTTGTTTCCCGAGGAAACAATGAAGAGGTTTGGAAAACTAGTCCGGTCTCCGGTGCTTTTTCGGCCGACTTTGGGACGATTTATGCATTCGATCGCGGCGGCACGGATTAGAGTGAATTAACGGGTCCCGGAACGTCGTTGAAACTTGCAAACACCTCCGGGGCTACGATCGCGCCGGACGTTCGCGATTTTTTCCCTCCCTCGTTCTTGGTCCCTTTTTCCGGCTCCGTTCGCTTTGTTCGACCCGTAGTTGCGAGTCTGCGGAGAGCTGTAGTTTTATTTCCGCAGCCCGTCGTCGTGTGCACAGCGAGCTACATCCGTGCAACGATGCGGCATGGCGATATTCGCCGGACGAGGAGAATACGGCAACACGCTGCAACGAGCTTGTAAAACGATCCGGATATTCTCCGCATGAACCAGATGTAATCCGCAGAACGCGTGGCCTATGTCGTTTCCGAATTTTACCCGC